ATTTTATTTAGAATTATTAATTTTTTTTTGCTAATTATATTGTTTTGTCTACAGTTATAATGGAAAACGAAATGCTGTTGCGATTGGATATTGATCATATCTCTAGACATTTTAGCGATATGGTAATATTTTTTTATAATTAATGTTAATATTTAAATTTGTTTTTATTTTAAAGTTATTATGAATATATATTAATTTTTATTTTTTATAATCCATTGCTATTGAGGGACTCAGGTCGTCCAAAATCTACTAGAATACATTGTGATATGGATATTCGGAAGAAGTCAACAGAACAAAAACGATGTGGGCATTGTAGAAACATCGGGCACAATAGAAAAAAATGTCCAGCTCTGTTATCATCATATAACCGTTAACTCTTATGTAATTAATATTGTATTTAAATGAATGTTTTTGTTTCTAATAATTTAATGTTATTGCATTTATATAAATTTGTCAATGTATGTACACCTAAATAATTTTTTTAACTTTTAAATACATAAATATATTTAATATATTTATTTAATATAATAATTAATATTATTAGTTATAATTTTTTTTAAAATATAATAATAATTCCACCTTCTAAGTAGAGAAAAATATTAAATTAAACAAATTAAAAGTTATTAAAAAATTTATGTATACGATGACACATTTCATGTTCTGATTGGAGGATTAAATTTATTAAATTAAATTTTCAATAAGACTAATTTTATAAATATGTAAGTATTGAAGATTAAATATGTAATTATACTAATTTATTAACTTATACATCATATTTCGTTAAATATTGATATGAGATGACTAGATTGATAACATTTAAATAATTAACTGATAAAATTAATAGATCGATAATCAAAATCAAAAATAATAATATAACCATATGTGTAATATTATAATTTCATACATTTTTCCTATAATCGAAACATTTTATAATAATAATAAAATACGTGTCTGCTGATTCTTAAATTTGATAATTCTTACATTATAATCGAAACATTTTACATAATATATTATTAATTTATAATAATAATAAAAATAAACTATTTATTATTAAATAAAATACGTGTCTGCTGAGTTGGTAAAGGCGCGTCCCCGGATATGCGCCTTCCACACGTGGCATCCAACTCAGCGAAAACACGGGTAAAGCGCGTCCCCGGGGACGCGCCTTTGCCAACTTAGCAGAAAGGGTGCTACTTCTGGAAATATTGGTCAAACGGTGTCAGAAAGGGAAAATTAAAAAAAAAATGTCAGTTATGTCAAATACCCGAAAAAAAGCATTGTGGTATAAGCAATGACGTCTTCTTTACAGCTCGTGTGGTTCACACAGAAGTACGGCCAAACGATGAGCATCGTTTCACAAGAAACGCGCTGCGATGCGCGTGTCAAGGATAATTTCCCATCGAATTGGGCCCCACGATGCCTTCTTATCCCCGTCTTCTAAAGTGTTTGACGTTGACGTGGCAGCAAGACATTGGTCCGCTTTGGATCGAAGTTGATTGCTTGATTTTGAGTTTCCAATTTTTTATTCCGATAAATTAAATATCATTTAATTCGAGCTTATTCAGGGAAATAATAAATATAGATTTCATGAAATTAAATATATAAATATATTATTTTGAACATAAATTGTGAATTTCATCTCTAATTGTTGACAATTTTGATAATATTAATTATTAGATAAATAAATAAAATATATAAATCATTAAACTATGTTAATGTAGTCTTTTATCATTAAAATTTTAAAAATTATTTTAATACAATTATCGATTTTCAATACATTAAATATTTAATTCAAATTAATAGCTCAATAAAAATATAATTTTTAATACAATTATCGATATTCAATACATTAAATATTTAATTCAAATTAAGTATTATAAAGATTCATTTAAAAATAATATTTTTAATTTCGTTTTTTCCTCCTTCGTTCATAAGGATTTGAATCTTTGACATTGTTTAAAGAGAATCATGTTTCACTAGATCACGATAATTACTAATAAAATCATTATTTTTTCATAACCATCAATTTATGATGGCATAATGTCAAAATTAGCATCTAACGTTTATCAAAATGTTCATTTTCCCCTATTTTATTTTTGGAGCATCTTGACCCACAACGTTTCATTTTAGGGCGAAAAGGGCCCTAAAATAGTTAACTATAATAAGATAGGTTAAAATAGGCTCTATTGTAGATATTTGTGTTCCTTATTTTATTTATATAAGTATTTTGACTCCTAACATTTCACTTTGGGGCAAAAATCTCCCTCTAAAATAAATAGGAGAAAATGATCATTTTAGTAACATAAGAGCATTTTAGCATAAAATGCATTCTAAATTTAGTTACTCTGTTAAATCGAGAATTACACGGATCCATTATAGGAACAACTCACTCAATTTAATTTATTCCATTCACAACTTTAGAATTTGAAGATATGACATTGCTTAAAATATCTAACGCCTTAACTCGACGGACCAATTGATAGGTGATAATAAAAAAGTATTTTAATGTATACTTTTAATTAAGTTTGCATTTACTAGAAGACTGAGTAGGGATCATCTCACAACCAACAAATCAAATCTTTTTCCCTTCCCAATACCCCAAATCAAAGGCAAGTGGTGGGATTACCTCATTGCCCTCGATATTAAAATGGAACCAACCCAAAGGGAATAATGTTTCAAAGGTGAAAGTGTTGCCCTAAAAGGAAAGGGTCTAACGTGGGATAGTGTGAGATAATTGAAGGGGAAAGAAAGATTCTAAACCAAATCATTGTACTATTTAACCAAATGTGGTAAATGGACGGCCTTGATTTGTCCATCATGGGTATTCTTTTTCTCTTATCTTCCTTTTTGGTGATGAAATTTGATTTGTTGTTGTTTTCTTTCAATTAATTTCACTGTGACAACCGACAAGACCTCTCCTCTGTCTCCATCAATGTTTCTCATATCTTCCCTCCACAAATTTGGTGGTTGGCCCTTCCCTTTACATGGGAAATCATTAAAATACCTTTTATGGGAACCAAGTTGCCAATTAATTTCATATTTTATTATATATTATATATCATGGGTTGGGTATGATATTGAATATTATTTAAATTTTTAAAAAATTCACAATCATACCTAAAGTTTAGTTTTTGTTTCATTTTAGTATCTCAATTCAAAATTTAATGTTTAGTTTTGAAAAAAATTAAAAAATTAGATACTAAGACAGATCAAAACTGATAATTTTGGAACTGAATGCATTAAGTTTTTAAAGGTAGGGTATTAAAATGAAATGTAAACGAAACATTAGCTATGTTTTAAAAAAAATTAAAAGTTTAAGTACTAAAACATACCAAAACTGATATTTGGTGTGTTCTCTCCCTGTCTGGATTGTGTTTGTATTAGATAGATGTTGTTTACGAGCTTGGGTGGCATGTGGGATCTGAAAATACAGAGAGGTTGTGGTTTATGGTTTGGTAAGCTGTTTCGCAGCCTAGTTCAGATGGTTAAGTTACCCATCAGTGCCTCTGGGCAGCTGCGTTATTGGCTCTATTAACTAGCCGTAAGGGATATGTATCATCCGAGCGATGGGGGTCTAGGGGATCGAGATCTCATTGTAGTGGCTGTTGAGACTCGGGGGATGCTTGTTTGTGGCACAACAGGTGATCTCATATAATAATTTTAAAATCAATCTTTCACATGTCGAGATAACGTTTGATGTAGGTATGGGCATGGGTTGGGTTGGGTCGGGTCGGATTTTTAGTTCACCCGACTGATCCGAGAATAAGGAATCCTCTACCCGAGATAAGACCCGACCAAAACAAAATTTCACCGACCCGACCTGACCAGATATATAACTTAAAAATCCAACTCGACCCAAATAAAAAAAATTATTTGTATTCAATAAAAATAGTGACTTAATTAAAAAAATAATATAGAGGGATATTATTGTAATTATTCCTAAATATATAAGATAAAATTATATATTTTTTCAAGTCGAGTCGGATATTTTTCATCATAAACCCAAACCAAACCCAATTTTTTTTTTTAAAAAAAACTGAATCGATCGAGTCGGGTCGGATTGGAACCCGTCAGGTTTAGGTCCCGTATTCATCCTTAGTTTGATGAGTAAAGCTTTCTACGGATATTATAATTCAGATTCTTAAATTGTTGGATATAATATTTTAAAAATGATAGGAATTCAATTAAATAGATATCAAATAAACTCTATAAATGGTCACTTTCGTTTAAGTTTTATAAATTTTTCCTAATTGAATTTTAAAAGCATAATATTATGTCAATTTCGTTTCATTTTAATTAAGATTGAATCATTAAAGGTTAACATTTAACAATTTCCTGTCATGACACGATAAATATATAAAATTAAAATTACACCATTTCTACATAATATGTGGATAAAGTTTTGGTCACTTTATTTCATATTTGTACACTTTGCTCAGTAAATTAAAAAAAACATAAGTTTTAATCATTTACGTTACATTTTATTAGTTTTTGTCAACCGGACGTTGTCATTAGTTTGATGATGTAGCCCATTAGTAAAATGATTTAATTTTTATTTTAACCCCTATATTTTAGATAAAATATTGATTATGAGTCCTTTTGTATATTCAAATTAGTTTAATGACAAAATTTCAATTTATTCATTTTTAATAGGTTTTTTTCCTAACCCAATTGTTGTTCAACTTCTCTACTTCTTCTTCAGGCATCTTTGATCCATTGCTCAATTTGACTTATTTCAATGACTCATGTTGCATTTCAAGACTAATGCAAAATTTTTAACTTTCAATAACAAATAATAACATCACAAGTTCAGAGAAAAATGAGAGGTTAATAATCTAGAGATAAAATAAATTTGGGCAATCTCAGCTATACAAACTAAAATTTAATTTCCAAAAATTGATATTGCAGAATGTCGAAGGAACAAGAAGACAAATCAATAGATCTAAATAACCCGATAATTGAATATCACTCTTCGTGGTTATTTGCCCTTGAGAAATTACCTCCGTTGAAACAAATGGGTCCAAACAACCCGATAATTGGATCCGTGAATTCTTCAACTGAACTCAATCCAAAATCCATGATCTTCGACATTGAATCTTTGTTTTTGCTCAAGAACAAGTAATTTTTCGATTCTAGATCCCTATGAACAATGTTAACCTTATGAGTCACTGTTAACCCATGCGGCTTGTGCAATTTGTCGCACCACCACCATCGTGTTGGCCACCAACTACCTTATTTCTGTGACAACCCAATTTAACAATTCACCGTCGGAGCAAAGTCCCAGTACTATGTGAACATCAATTTGATCTTCATAAACATCACGTTCGAATGCGATGAAACGTTCTCGACGATCTTTCGCATCACGAGGATTTCATTGGTTAATAACACGTCAGAGATGGAAACCCAATATTGTGTCTTTAATAACACCATTATTGAAATAGTTCTAGTTTTCTCAACTCGAGGTGGTGGCATCGTGGTGGTGGTGAATTTTTTCATAGTTTTAATGGCGAATTCTATGCATTTTTCACGATCTTCTTTACTTCTTTTATACATTTTCTTACAACTGGGAACTCATCTAATTTGACTTAAAATAATTACAACTAATAATTAGAAACAAGAAGGTTATTGCAATGGAGTAGAGATGTCTAAAGAAAATGCATGGAGAAGATGAGCAATATTGAGGGTTAAGGAGAAAAAAATATTAAAAATGGATAAATTGAAAAGTTATTCCTAAGCTAATTTGAATTTACAAAAAGACTCATAATCAGTATTTTGTCTAAAGTGTAGGGATTAAAATAAAAATTAAACCATTTTACTAAAGGGTCACCATCAAACTAACGACATTCAACGTCCAAGTGATCAAAACTTAATAAAACGATAACGCAAGTGACTATAACTTAATAAAGTAATAACATAAGTGACCAAAACTTATGTTTTTTGAATTTAGTGAGCAAAAGTATACAAATATGAAAGGAAAGTGACCAAAACTTAATCCACAAATTATCTAAGTGGAAATAATGTAATTTTAAATTTTATATATTTACCATACCACGTCAACAAACTATGAAAGGTTTAATGACCATTAACATTCATTGATCACATCTGAATTAAAACGAAACGAAAGAGACCAAATGTTATAGTTTTTGAATTCAATAAGGAAAAATTTATAAAACTCAAACGAAAGTGTACTAATTCTATAATTTACTGTTGAAAACATTTTGATATTTCGATATAACAAATTAAGTTAAATGAATTTTAAGATTTTCCAAAATGATTTTCTAAGTATATTCGATATAATTATTCGAATATCAAAACATTACTCAAAATATTTCAAAAATCAATTTTAATCCTTACTTAAGTGTAAAATTAAGTTTTAATCTTAAAACAATTTCAAAATAATCTTTCAAAGTATTTCGAACCACTTCAAAGCCAAAAATTCCAGATTGCTCAGAGGGAACCGATTCTCCCCCAAGGGGGTACCGATTCCCCCTGAATGGTTTGGCTCCGAGATTTCCATAATGCTCGGAGGGAACCGATTCCCCCATAAGGGGTACTGATTCCCCCCTGTTCAAAGGTCGAAATATTTGAATTTTACACTTAGGGAACCGATTCCCCATAGGGGGTACCGATTCCCCCACGCTCCAAATTGTTTTATTAATTGTTTTCACACTAAAACAACTATATGATCTTCACTAATCATCCCCAACGTTCAGAAGAGATTCAAGGTGTATTTAAACAAGTTCTGAAGCCCTTGATCAACAAGAAATCATAGAGAAACAAGAGAGAAAGCATCAAACACCAAGTTTGTGCAAATCAAGCCAATTTTCCTTTCAATATTCATTTTGCTTTCAAGAACACCATTTGTGCTCATTTGTAATTATCTTTGAGTGTTCTTTTCTTGTTCTAGAATTGTGCAAACATCTTACCTTGTGAGGTTTTCTTTTAAGTTTGCAAATTTGTAATCTTCTCTTTGGGAAAAAGAGTGTTCTCAAGAGTTGGGGTATACTCTTGAGGGATTTTGTAAGGTTATCTCTTTGGCCTCAAAAGAAAGAACAAATTAGTGAATTTGTTGGAAAATCCTTAGTGTGGATAGCTAAGGTAGTGGACGTAGACTTTGTTTGAGAAAGTCGAACCACTGTAAATCGTTGTGCAATTACTTTCAATTTTTCTGCAAAAGCTTCCACGAAATTTTTAATTGCCAATTCACCCCCTCTTGGCCGATTCCGTCGATCGATTAACTCAACATTTACCCATAAATATTTTACAACATAATATTAGTAAGACACACATTCTCACAAATACTAAACTATAAAATTATTATATGTTGCTATATGTATGATAAATAAATAATGAATACTATATGTGAGATTCATCTAAATTTAATAAAATATCAATAATAATCACTATATGACTTTAGAGGCAAAAGGGTACGTTCTCAATTTTTCCCTAACAAAAAGGTTTTATTCCATTTTCTCTCCCAACCAAGTTTCAAATAGTTTCAACCAATATTTTAATCTTGATTGTATCACTTTAGTTTTTTTTTTCAAAAGCATAATCAGGGGTGTAAATGAGACGAGACAGATGCGAGCTACTCGAGATTGACATGATTAAAGCTCGACAAATATTCTGATCGAATGGACTCGACTCGAGCCCGAGCTCGACTCGAGTTCTTAACGAGCCGAAACGAGCTACTTGATATTCGACTTAAAAAACTCTTGAGCAGCTCAAAAATATAATATATTAAGATTTTATTTTAAAAAAAAAAATAAATTATTAATAATATTAATATTTATGTATTGATCTTTTTAAATACAGTAAATTTTTCATGTATTTAAGGTTCAGGTTCGAGTTTGAGACTTCAATCAAGTTAAGTTTAAGATTTTTTTTTTCATTTCGAGCATTTTCGAGCTGTTCACAAGCTTCAGTTCGGGATTTTGAGTTCGAGTCGAACTTAAAAATTTTAAGTTCGCGAGTTTTCGAGTTGAGTCGAACTCAACAATACTCAAGCTCTACTCAATTCGTTTACACCCTAAGCACAAGAACATATTATACCTTTTCTGCCATATATATATATATATATATATATATATATATATATATATTTAAGTGTCAAAAAATGTAATATATAAGTGGTTGAGAAGGTCAAAAAAAGCGAAGGGTGATACCCATACTAATACACAAAGTCAAGGTCCGAGCAACACACAACAAAAAGTTTCCTTTTATGAACCGGCAAGGATTAATCACGAATTTAAGGAAAGGTAAGGATTAATCACGAATTTAAGGAAAGGTCCCCCAAGGACAAAACCGTATATTAACCGTTTCTCATATATATATATGACAGTCAACATTTAATCTCAAAATACCGTCAATATTTTAACATAAAAAGACGAGTTTAAAACATAATGAATAATCGGGTGACTATTTTGTAATTTTTAATAGTCGAAGGATTTAACAAAACAACAATCTATAATAAGAGGACCATTTTATAACTTATAATATTTTAGAGACTTAATAAAATAATATCTATAATCAATGGACTATTTATGTATTTTATCTTATAAAAAATATAAATTATGCATATTTTTCATTTTAAATTTTTTAGTAATATATATGTTTAATGTTTCAGAGTTATCGTTTGAAGTTCTTATGTTGTAATGACCCTTAAAAAATTATTATTATTATCTAACATGTGTCGTATTTATAATTTTTTTAATTTATTTTAAAAAACTTAAAAATATTATTATATTAAAAAATTAATTTCTATTGAATAAAAAAAACTCAAATCCTTAAAAATCTCTAACCCTAATTTCATTCCTCCTTACAATCTCTTTTTTCTGTCACTAGAATGATGGTGGATTTGGGTATTTAGGATTTAAGGATTTAAAATTAAATTCTTCTTCTACTATGAAAGGAGATTTGATCGACGATAATGAAAATGGTGTTGGAGGTATAGATACTACCCTATTAAATACTCTTTAACGAGATATAAATACTACATAAGTAGTTCTGTAAATTTTTTATCGACAGATGACCAAACTAAAACTAAAATTATAATAGGGTGACTAAATATACATAATTTACCCTATTAAAGTAGAACATTGTGTAATAAAAATATAAACAAATACCCAAAAAAAGGAAAGTGCAAGTAGGGGTGTAAACGAGCCGAGTCGAGCTCAAGTAGTGCTGAGCTCGACTCGACTCGAAAACTCTTAAATGAAGTTCGACTCGACTCGAAAACTCGCGAGCTTAAATTTTTCAAGCTCGAATCGAACTCGAAATCCTGAACTGAGACTCGTGAGCAGCTCGAAAAGGCTCGAAATGAAGAAAAAAATTCTTAAACTTAACTCGATTGAAGCCTCAAACTCAAAACCTTAAATACATGAAAATCTTACTATATTTTTTAAAAAAATCAATACATAAATGTTAATATTATTAATAATTTATTTTTAAAAAAATAAAATCTTAATATATTATGTTTTCGAGCTTCTCACGAGCTTTTCGAGTTAAATATCAAGTAGCTCGTTTCGACTCGTTAAGAACTTGAGTCGAGATCAAGTCGAGTTCATTTGATCTGAGTATTTATCGAGCCTTGATCAAATTGATCGAGAGTATCTTACAATCTATCCCATCTCATCTACCGCGGTAAGTGCAAGTGTTTGCTATGCTACCTTCACTATTAGCACGTTCCTATCCTCTCCTTTATTTTCAGTATTTTCTTCCTTTTCTCTTCTTTGTCGCCAATCTCTCTCTCTTGAAATCAAATTCTTCTTCCTCTTTTTTTTTCTCCTTCAAAGTTCAAATTTTCACCCTTATTTAACTCATCTTTCTCGAATGCATTCTTGTTGATGTTTTCTTGTATCATCACAAAGAAAACCCATCTTTTTAAAGTTCGTTTTCTCGAAGAAAATTCTGGAAAAAAAAAAGCATTGGTTTTTGTTTGTTTCGAGAGGAAAAAAACAAGAAGAAAAGATAAACATGTTGGATCTTAACCTTGATATGGTCTCAAGCGAGTCATCTTGCGATGAGAACTTCAACGACAACAAGAACGACAAGATGACGTCAACTCAAATGGAAGATTCGGGTTCTTCGAATTCTTCGATCATCAACGGCGAAGACGTTCCGTTATCGAATGCAAAAGACGAGAACTCTTCAAACGACGATGTCTCGCCGGCATTCGTTTTCGATATCTTGAAGAAGGAAGAAAAAGATGATGACGACGACGACGATGATGCCACCATTGCTAAAACGGCGCAAGACCCTTCGCCGGAATTCGTCATCGGACAGCTATTTCCGGTCGCCGGAGAAAAAGTGGGTCTAGAGTTGGAGTTCGGAACAAAAGCTTCGGCTAGTAGACCTCAATGGTTGAACTTATCTTACGCCGAATCCACCGGCGAGGCCGAGCTGACAACTGTACAGATAAAGCCTCAAACGAGGAAGAGCCGCCGAGGGCCGAGGTCCCGGAGCTCTCAGTTCCGCGGCATCACGTTTTACCGGAGAACTGGCCGGTGGGAGTCACATATATGGTAATATTCATGTACATATATCTAATGTTTTTAACTATCCTTTTAACCCGTCAAGTGGACTCAAGATTCGAATAATTACATTTAAACAAATATTATTTTATAAATTTTCAGATTATTAAAAAAAATTATTTAATATTGAAATTAAAAATTATTCTGATGTTTTTTTGTTTCTTTGTGGATAGGGATTGTGGGAAGCAAGTATATTTAGGTAAAATTTAAATGATTTATTTGAAGATTTTATGAATAATTTCATGCATTTTTTGATTCTTTTCTGATAAGGGTATACTTCTTTTTGTGTTGTCAGGAGGATTTGACACTGCCCATTCTGCTGCCAGGTGAGAATTTATATCATATTTGGTCAAATAATAATAATGAAAATAATGAAGTAAATCATCTTTTTTTTAATAAATTTTCGATCTTATTTAGAGCTTATGATCGAGCTGCAATCAAGTTCCGGGGAGTTGAGGCTGATATCAACTTCAATTTCAGTGATTATGATGAAGACATGGCACAGGTAAAGCTATGATTACAATTTGTAGTTGTGTTGTATTTATTGCGATTGCGAACGTAATTTGTTTTTCTTGTTTGTTGTTTGATTCTGGGTTTTTTGATCTGCAGATGAAGCACATGAGCAAGGAACAATTCGTGCACAGTCTCCGTCGGCAGAGCAACGGATTCTCAAGGGGGAGCTCCAAGTACAGAGGCGTATCGTTGCATAAAGGCGGTCGATGGGAAGCTCGAATGGGACAGTTCCTCGGAAAGAAGTGAGAATCCAGTTCACCGTGCCTTTCTTACTTTGTAACATTTTTTATTGTAATTGTATTGTGTATTAATCGGTCACTGAGATTAGGTTTTCTATGATCATAGTATTATGTTTCGAGATATTCGAGTACGGTTGTGATTCGGTTTTTGGATGCAGGGCTTATGATATGGCTGCCATGAAATGTAATGGAAGTGAAGCTGAGACCAACTTTGAGCCAATTACTTACGGAGGCAAGGCTACAGACAGTGTATCTGCAGATTTCTTTTAAGTTTTAAAACAAGTTTTTGATTGTGCTTGATCTTGAATTTTCTGTTTTCTGATGCACTCAATGCAGGCAATTGTCTTCACAATCTTGATTTGAGCCTCGGGATTTCGGCACCTTCCGTTGCTCGAAACGGGAGCAACGATGCCGGCAGTTCTGCTTCTGTGGGCGTACAACCTCAACACGGTCCAACAATTCTAGCTAAGCACCCTCCGATGTTGTCCAGTGCTTATCCGGTCGCTCTTTTCCCACACGACGTGGTACTTCCCTTCGTTTCATCGTCTCCTCTAATCGCTCGTTGTTTCTGTGATCGTTGAACATAACGATTGAACGGCGTTTATGATATGACAGGGAAGGGCAATGCCGAAGAGAGCCGAAGCTGTTTCATCGACCGGATTCCCGAACTGGGGATGGACAATGCAAAGGTATGGTAAAATCGCCCCAACCCCGGTGTTTCCTATAGCAGCATCATCAGGATTCTCTTCTTCCAATGCCATTGCTCCATCGACCACGCTTAACGATCCCGGCCGGAACCTCTACCCTGCGACACCCGCTACAGCCGCCAATAACACTTCCCATTACTACAATTACAGGAGCTGAAATCAGCATGGCTTTACAAACACAAGTGAACCTGTGGCAATTGTGTATTATAACATTTATATGCCTTTTAAAATATGTAATATAAGATTTTCATGTCCTTAGGGTTTATGTTCGGTTCAAGTTCGAGTTGTAACAGAACTCGAGTTCAATCTTCGACCAAGTAAAGTCCGAGAATGTTTCAAGTTTCATTTTTTAAATTCAAATCAAGTTTCATATTTTAGTTTTGAGTTCAACAATTTTAAGTTTGCGAACTTTTTTTTCATTCAAGTCAAGCTCACTTAAAAATTTCTTCGCTTCATACCCGGGGGCATTGACGGTAGAGGTGGCAAGGTCCAAGCTTGATGCCCCAATATACTCAAATAAAAAGTTGGTTCGTTGCAAGTTGCAAAATGGTCCTCAATTTATTTATTTTATTTTAAAAGAGTCCCCTACTCCAAGCTTCCTCATTGATTACTCTGCATTAAATTCAACCTGCATGGCCCAACTTGCATATCCAAAAATCTGATTGTTCAATGAAGATTTGATGGCTATATGCAGGCCTTATAACATGCATCCCTAAACCCAATCAATGCTAATTTTCTAGGATTAATTACCCCATTCACACATGAAGTATACCAAATTCTCAGTTTCATACATAATGTTAAAAAATTCTCGTTTTCATACATGATGTTTTATACCGTTAACAGGTTCATCCATTTCCGTTACAGAAGGTGACGTGGAAACCTTAACAAAATGCCACGTGGAACTTTGGAAATGGGTGACGGGAATGCCATGTGCCACATGGCACCCATTTAAAGTGTCACATCTCCTTCCGTGACGGAAATAAGTGAACCCGTTAACGATAGAAAATATCATATATGAAATCGAGAATTTTTAAACATTATGTATGAAACAGAGAATTGAATATAGTTCATGTATGAATGAGGTAATTAACCCAATTTTCTATTTAGGCACAATGCCAATATGAATATTTAATTAAAACATTTATACTAATAATCAAAAATTGGGTAAAGTAAATTAAATTGCACCATGCCTATAAGACATTTTTTTTGTTAAGTCTCCCGATTATGAAAAGTTACAAAATAATCATATAATTATTCATATGTTCCAAACTCGTCTTTTTTCGCTAAAAATATTGACGTCTGAGCTGTACGTTAACCTCCTATTTGTGATATTGTAAAATATGATCTAAAAATTGTTTGAAATGTATTTAGTGGATCGAGTCTATGTTTACATTATGTAAGCCTACTGACTCGACTCGACAATATAACGTAAACAGAGACTCGATCCACAAGATAAAGCTCAAACAATTATAAGACCATATTTTATTATATTCTAGTCAACAAGTTTATGTATGTATCAAACAATCGTCAAACACGACAATTTTTTGGGTAAACTATCTATTTGATATCCCATCTTTTTTGTATTTCTCATATGCATACATGAATGTTTAAAAAAAATAATATTTATAGCCAATTTCAACTTAAAAGATATTTAATCGATGTGTATGCATAGTTGGTATGTCGAACTAGGACGGTAAATGAGACGAGACAGATCGCAAGCTTCTTCATTTTCTTATTCTTTCTATTCCCTATCACAAGATAGAAAAAACTGTTTACCATCTTTGACAGACCATCAGTTGTTGATCTATCGGTCGTGACCTTTTATCCTCACCAGAAGAAGTAAATCGTCAATCATCACGACGTAAATGTTACCATCAACAAAAATATTACCTACTAATTGCAGAGTTACAAAGTATGCTAAAGATATTGTTTAAGAATGTGTTTTTGAGTTTATCAACTTCATCAACACCGAGTAAGTGTAATATGAAGTTGTATGCTTTACTTGTTCTTCATCAGGAATGGACTGAGAGGAACGTGTGGGGTAGTCGCCCAAACTTTAAAATTATTATATATTTTGGATTTTTATGTATATTTTATTGAAAATCTATTCTCGTTCCCTAGAATTTTATAAGTTCATCATTTTTTTAATTTAAAAGTTCGTCCCCTAACATAAAATCATATGTTTGTCTATGCGCTTCGCTATATCTTCTTGTTGTTCTTGACTTTGCTTTTTGAACACTTGGTAAAGAATCAAACTGAATTATCATGATCTTATGCTTTTGTGGTGATCTAATCCTGAGGTTTCTTTGTCGGATTAAACTCTATGGGCACATATTTTTAATGTATATTGTTATCATAAAATATGATATAAATTAAGTGATTAATTATGTTATGAAAATAATATGGTATTAGAAGTATCATTAAAATAAGTGTATATATTATTAAAGTGTTATTTATAATTTGATGTGGGACATAATTATAAATACAACAAATAATTGATTCTTAAATCATCTATACAAGGGTCTATGGTCCCAAAAAAATAGATTATATCGTATTTTTTCTTATCCCGTGACTCTCGTTAAAGAGTTTATACTCAAGAGAACTTCATTTTCTTGGAAGATCACAATAACAAAAAAAGAATTAATGATTTCAACCTATCGATTAATTCAGGTACGACTTCATAACTAGTAATTTATTTTTGATGATTTAATATGATTAGATAATGATTAATTTTTCATATTTATTATGGTTTGATTCTAACATTTATATCCAATAATGTCAAACTATCATGTATTTTAAATATTTTTTATATTTTATATTAATAATATGTTTTTATCATCTAAATGTTTATAAATTCATACCCTTTTAAAGTTTTAGAAATTTACCACATACATAAAATCTCATCCTCGTCTATGTATACATGATCATACAAGAGATGGACATGGGACCCGAATCCGACGGGTTTCGACCCAACCCGACTCAATAAAATCAGGTTCGGGTTAGGTCATGTCAGATTTGAGTTTAGGGTGAAAAATACCCGATCCGAAAAAAATATAATTTTACCTTATATATATAGGAATAATTACAATAATACACTTCTATATATTATTTTTTTCAATTAAATAATTATTTTTATTAAATAAAAATAATATTTTTTATTATTTCGAGTTGGGTTGGATTGAGTTCGGATTTTATCTAAAAAATTCGGGTCGAGTTAGCCGAAATCCGACCCATGCCCATCCCTAAATTCATACAGGATCATTGAAGTAATCTTAATTCCCAGGTAATATGTTGTTGATTAACGTTTCATTAAGCCATCTAAATCGATCACATGTTACAGAGGAAAGTGGGGCTGTGGGTACTCATCTTGATTCGTATACCACCCAATGCTTGCCAGTCCATTACTTCCCAGTATGACATATGGCAGTGCGCCTGTCCAGACAAATTGATAGCTAACACATTTGATTGTCTGAGACCAACATCATGTCCTTTTACTTGCATGTTTTTATGTCCATGTGTTGGGCATATAAGCAGGCTTAGTTATACTCATATTAAGATGGATACAGGACCCGAATCCGATAGATTCTCATCAGATTTGACCCGATCGGGTCGGAGTTTTTTTTTTAAATTCGGGTTCTGATCGGGTTAGATTCGGATTTATGGTGAAAAATACTCGATCCGACTTTAAAAAAATATAATTTTACCTTATATATTTAAAAATAATTACAATAATACCTCTCTATATATTATTTTTTTCAATTAAATCATTGTTTTTATTGAATAAAAATAATATTTTTTTATTATTTCAGGTCGGTCGGGCTGATTTTGGATTTTATTTCAAAAAGTCGGATCGGATTCGAGTCGGGTGAAGGGCATATATTATATAGGTCTGGTCGGATTTCAAGTAGATGAGTCATTGTTCTCAGATCGGATCGAGTGAACGAAAAAACCCGACCCATTCTCATCCCTCCTATATCCTATCCCAATTATTAGAGATATGCGGATGTGAACCTATATAGTTATATTAAATATTTAAATATGCAAACTTATAAAATTTTTAAAAATGTAAAATTAAATCAAAAAATATATAAAAAAGAATTTAAATTATTAATAATTTGAAATTTTTTATCCAAATTATTTTAGTTGACTCTTTTAAGGAAGTATTTTCAAATAATTCATTTTCAAATAAAAAAATTATATTTAAATAGTAATTATCGACTTAAATTAAAATACTGGAAAAACGATGCTTTTGTGTTGAAAAAATTATTTTTAAGAAAATATTCCCAAAGGAAGTCTAGTCAGGTACTTGGACTTGTTTTCTAAATTTGTTATATATTGTATAATTCATATTTATAAATTCGAAAAATATTTTAGCTCTACAAGTTAATGTTCGAAATATCTATTCTGCTTGGTGCGTTTTACTTACGGGTGAGTAAAATTCGATCCGATTCGAAAATTTTTAAATTTAAATCGAGTTGTAAAATACAACTCGAATAACTCGAAATTTTTAATAATAAGTAAATTGATTTTCATGTTTGAGCCGAGTCCCTTGACTTTGTTTGGTATATGTAAATCAATTGTGAAAAAAACACGAATATATATATAAATCATTATATTGTATCTGGTTATAAAATACCATTTAAATTAGAATCAAATAGTGTGATAATATTGTAAATATTTACAATTAAATTTAAATAGAAACTCAAAAAATTGACTCAACTCGACTCGAAAAAATTTCAAGTCAACTTCGAGTTATAAAATAGGACTCGTTAACCAGAATAACTCAATTTTTTTGACTCGACTCGATTCGATCAAACGCTCACCCTTAATTTTAATATTTTGGTTGGTTGGGGACTGATTGTTCTCTCTAAGGGTGTTTCATGAGTTGAACATCTTGTGAGTTGTTTAAATTTAATTTGATTAAAACTCGGTCAATGGTTATTAATTCAGATTAATTTGATTTGAACTCGACTCGAGATCTTAACGAATTGAGTTAAGTAATGTCCAACTTAACTGAATAAATCCACGAACAGTTGATTAATTTTTTTTATATCTTTTAGTATTTACCAGGTAATGTGCACATATATCCCACGACGCGAGCATCATTTGTTGGATGCACGAGGCAGGGCAGCTCACTCCCTCCCTCCCTCCACACTTGGTAAGCTGTCTCTA